ACAGGCATCTGAGCCCAGCCTGGCAGCGCGGCTGAATGGCTTCCAGGTAATGGATGTGTTGTTCAAGCTGTGCCCTCCCCTGGCTGTGTGCTACCTGTCACAATGAGTGACAAGAGAATTTATTTCTTCCAGAGAGAGAATGGCTTGTAATTCACAGCCCGCGGAGCCAGCTTCTGGCGCATCATCGGGGCCTTCTTTTTGTGGGCAGTAATAAATTGTCTTAGCACTGGCGCAGATACAACACGCTCCTTTTTAAGGGTACTATAATTTTTATTTTTAAGAGAATATTCATATCTGACAGTGGGGCTCCTGGGTGTCGGAAAGCTGCTCTGAAAAGACCGTCTTTAAGATGTTGTCCAACTCCCAAATGTCACTGTTAGAAGTAGACTTGACTTCGGAACACGTCCTGGGGATGCTCCGGAGTGCTGATAGACAGCAGGGCTTGTCCCTCAGCGGAGAGGCACAATAGGGATGCAGGGAGCATCTAGAGAGTGCAGTAGCACAAGGTCCAGCATGTGCTACCTTTGGTGTATCCTGAACTCCACCCCAGAGGACTGTGTTCCCATCACCCAGGGACTCTACCTGGAGCACCATTAGAGCCGGGTCGCGGTGTCTGACAATCGAAGACCTGCAGCCACCTGCCGTTATCCAAGCTTCCCTAGGCTGGGCTGGGAGAATCTGACCCCTCTCCTCCTGTGTCCTCCAGGGAGCTGTAGCTAGAGCAGCCTACTGAGTCCCAGTGAGCACCCCGGGAGCATAGTTTTAGATGACATCGCTGTAGATAGTCACCCACATTAGATGACATCTCTGTAGATAGTCACCCGCATTAGATGACATCTCTGTAGATAGTCACCCGCATTAGATGACATCTCTGTAGATAGTCACCCACAGCCAGCTATGCATTGACACTCCGACAGACCAGCTGGAGAGTTCTGCTTCCCCTTGAGCAAAGCCCGAGTCTTCATCTAAGAGCTATTCTGGCTGTTTGGCACAAAGAGACAAGACCCCTGTGTTTGGGGGCCTCTCCCTCTCCCTCATATATGTAACTAACTTCACGGCCACCTCACCAGCTGCTCATCACAGAGTCTTAACAGTTCCCTTAACAAGCTAGGGATGGCGTGGTCCTCAGGAATGTCTTAGCTACCTGTCTGTTGCTGTGAAGAGACCCATGACTAAGGCAACTTGTGGAAGGAAGAGTTTATTGGGACTCACAGTTTCGGAGGGCTAGTTAGAATCTGTGGCCATCACGGTGGAGAGCGTGGCAGCAGACAGGCAGGCATGGTATTCGAGCAGTTGTTGAGAGTTTTTATCTTTTTCCACAAGTCGAAAGCAGAGAGAGAAGGAGGAGGGGGAGAGAAAGAAAGGGAGAGGAAGAAGGAGAGAGAGCTAAGTAGCAATGATCTGGGCTTCTGGAACCTCAAAGTCCCATCCCCAATGACACACCTCCTCCAATAAGGCCACACCTCCTAATCCAACACCAGTGTTTCTACCAAGTGGGGACCAAGCACTCAAAGAGATGATCCCATTGGGATTGTTCTCCTTCAAGCCATCAGCGGTAAGGTTCTTCTTCCTCTGTGCTCATGATTTTCCACCCATCAGAGAGAAGGGGTGAATGAAGCTAGTTCACAAATGAGGAGCTGTGCCTTCCATCAGCCACACATGGGAGAGTCCAGCACCTCCAGATGCTGTGGGATGCCGAGGGGGAAAGGGAAGGTGTACCGTGGGCCACTTACAGGAGAGACGCAAAGCCCTGGTGAGGCTGGATAGCTCAGCTGCATCCTAACACAGCCGCACACCCACAGATACTTCTAGAATCCTCGTTATTACTAATAGCAACTAGATGCTGTAAAACGTCGGCCTTTTTGATAAGCCCTCTTACGCACTGCTGTCAAGAGCCAGGCTTCACACTAATTCATTAGTAGTGAACACAAATATTGCATGCATTTTATGCTCAGTTGGGAAAACTGAGGTTCAAAGAGGTTCGCTGACTCTTCCAAGGTCACCCAGTGATAAAGTGGCAGACTAGTCAACTGTAGCATTTCTACCATAATCACATTTTGGCTCTGACCTTCCTTTCGTGATTGGACCACCCTGTAGCTCTTGAACCATCAGTGTTACATCCTGTCATGTGGCCTTACACCCCGAGAGGAGCTCCGACTAGTCTGCAGTGAGCTGGCTGTGAATTAGAAGGTTCTAAACTTCCCTGCCGTCTTTCATAGGTGGGAACCGAATCTGGCTTTCTTCTTGGCGATGGTGACCACCTGTGACTGACTGTGCTCAGGGGGAGCACACCGGTGTGTGTGGCTGGTTTCTGATCCAAGATCACTTTTTGTTGGATGGGGGAAGAAAGGAGGAGGAAAGGGAGTAGACGGCTCCATATACCGGCCACGGGAATGTTTGACGACCAAAATTTCAGCCTTTGGAAGATGACATTGTAGAATGACAGGAAGCAGTACCAGTGCAGGGGATCCTCTAAGGCAGGGAGTAGACACTGTGACAGGTGATCCCGAAGCTCTCTCTATGGCAGACGGTGCAAGGGGTAGAGAACACTGAAGAACCAGGTGAAGTCCTTGCTGGGGCCCCAGACCTCTGACCTGTTAGTGAGCTTGACAGGAGTGACTGCGGTTGGGCTGGGGAGTCGGGGAGACAGACAATAAATAGTGAGCCTCCGGGGCAGCGATTCTCAACCTGTGGGTCGCAACCCCTTTGGGAGAGTCACCTAAGACTATAGGAAAACACAGATATTTACATCATGATTCGTAACAGTAACAAAATTAGGTATGAAGTATCAACAAAAATAATTTTATAGCCGGGCAGTGGTGGCAAACACCTTTAATCCCAGCACTCAGGAGGCAGAGACAGGTGAATCTCTGTGAGTTCTAGGACAGCCTGGTCTTACATAGTGAGTTCTAGGACAGGCTCTAAGGCTACATAGAAACCCTGTCTCAAAAAACCAAATCATTATTATTATTATTATTATTATTATTATTATTATTATTATTATGATTGGGGTCACCACACCAGAGGAAGCCCACTACATGATATCAGCAAGCACTTGGGACTTAGTAAAGCCTCAAAGGAACCAGGCTGCGCTCTTCCTTCACTGTGCCCCCCCCCCATATCCCCAGCAGTCATACAGCGAATGCTAGTCACGTGACAGCTTAATCAGTTTTGGTTAGAACTTGGGCTTGATCAGAAGAACAGAAAGCCAAGGAAGGCTGTGCTCCAACTGGCCTAGCCTCAGAGGCTCCCACACCTGTTCGTATACGCGCACTGTGACTTCGGAGGCCATGCCTGCCTCTGTCACGGCCTGACCTGTATCAGTCCTCATCCCTCTCCCACTACCCTCCTTTCACTGTCAGTGCTCCCGCCCCTCCCCCCTCCTCTCTAGCCTCCAAACCACTAAGCTGCCTCCTGCTCCAGGGCCTTTGCACTCCACTTTGGAGTGCTCTTCTTGGACACTGTTGGGGCCGGAGAGACTAGGCTGTCCCTGGATTGCTCCTCTATTACCCAAGTCACTGGGTTGTCCCATCAGAAATATTTAATGTGATGTCCGTTTCCTTGCTGAGACCTGACTGATGGACCACTCATCTGCATAGTTTCTCTCGATTTCTTCAAGCTCAGCTTAAAAATCATTCCATCTGAGAAGCCTTGACTCATCCATCCAGTTCAATGCTCTCCCGTGGCCCCACTCTGAACTGGACGGTGGACATGTGAACCCTCTGGGAATCAGATTTCTCTCTACACGAGATCAAAAGCTATGGGAGATGCCTTGAGACAAGGGGAGAGTGACCTGATTTCTGTCACACGAGGTTCTCCACATTGAGGAAGGCAAGATAGGAGAGCCACTGGGAGGCTACCGGGGGTGGGGTGATTTGACCAAAGGGATAGCAGGGGACATGGTTAAGAATCAGTCAGATCCTGAGTGGATATCCAGTGTGAAAACAACCAGCTTTACTGGAGACATGGGATTAGGAGCAGGGAGATTTAAGTCAACCTCAGCCTTAGGTCTGAGCAAAAGGAGAGAGCTGGCATTTGCTGTAACTGGAGCAGAGGTGTGTATGAACTGTTTAATTACTGTAATGAAATAACTGATGCTGGGAAGCCTTATAAAGAAAATAGCTCTCTCTCTCTCTCTCTCTCTCTCTCTCTCTCCACCCATCCTCTCTCCCTCTCTCTCTCTCTCTCTCTCCATCCATCCCCTCTCTCTCCCTCTCTCTCTCGCTTATGTTTCTCCAAGTGCATCTGAAAAACTCCCAAGGTGGTACAAGGTATCATACAGCAAGGGAAGGTACATGTATGTATGGGTCCATGTCGTTACTGTTTTTTTTTCTCTCCCCCTCTTATAAAACCACCAGATTCAATCAAAGGCTCCACCCTGATACCTTTATCTAATCCTCACCACCTCCCAGAGGACGCACCTCTGAACACCTGGAGCTTCCGCCCTTCTGATCTGATGTCCCATGGTGGGGATTACATGTCAACACGTGGTTCACACAATGGGACACACAATCAACCACATCCAAGCTGAAGTGGAGTGTAGAGGGGGAAGTCTGTGACAAACCGACAGCATCCAAATGGAGACAGCATGGGTCACCTGGAGTCACTTGTATGTTATAGATATTTAGAGTCACCAGAATGAGAGATCGCTGGGAGAGCAACAATAGAGGAAGAACACCAGGGCTCGGGGTCATCCTGTGCCAGCCTCGGAGTTCCTAAAGTAGGAGGAGAAGGAGGAGATTGGGCTGGGCAGATGAAGGTGCCATGAGTCCTATGAAGATCAGGCATCAAAGGCGAGGGGTGGGGCCAGTGAGGTGGCAAAGCTGGTCACCAAGCCCGATGACCTGAGTTCAATGCCTAGAAACCAAGAGTAGAAGAAGAAAAAGAAGGGGAAGGAGAGGAAGAAAGAAGAAAGAGCCGGGTGATGGTGGCACACACCTTTAATTTCAGTACTCAGGAGGCAGTAGCAGGCAGGTCTCTGTGAGTTCAAGGACAGGCTCCAAAGCTACACAGAGAAACCCTATCTCGAAAGGAAGAGGAGGAGGAGGAAGAAGAAACCTCCAGTAATTTGTCCTTTGATCTTCACACATGCACTACAGTGTGAGTGCACATGTGTATACACACACACACACACACACACACACACACACGTTTATTACCACGGAGGCCACTGGTGATAATTGTTGGAAGCTCTGAGGGTGGGGCTTCACACAGGTGGGTTTAAGTCAGAACAGGGTAGAAACTGACCAGGCGGCAAGGCAACTTCTTCAGGATTTTACATAAAGGGAAGGGAGAACAGGAAGTAGGTGAAAGAGAAGTTTTCAATAGAGGTCTGCCAGTGCACGGGATCATCTAGAAGTTTTGACAATAAGGATAAAGAAGGCATGTCCTTGACAGGGCTGGGATTGGAATCCAGAGCAGCACAGGTGGGCGGCAAGGACCCAAGAGGCCCTACAACAATGTCTCCTGAGAAGGCAGGAAGCAAGGTGCTGAGCTGGAGTAGGGGTGTGGTGCTTCAGGGACTGAATCAGCAGGAGAGGCAGACTTAGGTGTCACTGTAGTAGGCCTGTGAGGTGCGGTCGACCAGTCAGAGTGGTTCTGCTTCTTCCCCACCTGCCTTCAGAGCACAGGGACAGCTCCTGAGTGGACAAGGCTGACAGAGGAGGACAAACTGGCGCTCGTTTGTCCAGAAGCCTGGCAGCTACAACAGAAGGAACAGAGGGGATGCTTGAAGGGGCTGTAGGGTAGGGACGGTAGGCATCTTTTTAGGGTGGGGCCCTTCTGCTGAGGGGAAGAGTCTGGGGAAGGGACAAAGTATCCGGGACAGGAGAGTAAGTAAGGGCTGCACCAGCCTACATCACATAAGGTTCTCTGGGGATTCAGGACAGTTTTGGAGGAAAGGGGACAAAGGTGTTCTCTGGCTTGTGATGTCCTGGGGGAAGATAGAGGCCATGGAATCTATAAGACCCCACTGAACACTAATTTCTATTGTATCCCTACAGGCCTATACCAAGCAACTCTCTGGCAGCCACGGACTCACCAGACTTCTCTTTGTAGACAGAACTAAACCTTCAGCTCTAGTGAGTGCAGGCCTATCACCTCCACCCAGTCTTCTCTTGGCTCATTCGCCATGCCTTAAAAGTGAGCCCAGGTGCTGAAGTTACCTGGGAAAACACATGGGCATTGACTGGGAGCCCACTCCGGAATCAAGGCCGTCTCTACAGAGAAGCAGGGTACATCCTGCAGGTAGACTTATGTAAATACAGCTAGATCCTCATTTACCATCATAGGGTTGGACATTTGGAGGAGGTTAAAGCTGCTTATGGCGGTCCTGTGGTGCTGTTTAGGCGGTATTTTATTTAATAACACATGAGTTCTCTTTCTAATCCCCTCCTTTTATTACTCTCTTTGTTCTCTTACTTCCCAGTTTTCCTTCTTTCTTTTTCTTCCTTTCAACAAACATTTGTTGGAGACTGCTGTTAGCTGAGCAGAATCTAGAAGAAAGAAACACAGTAGAAACAGAAGGGAGATGGGAGACTGGCTAGGTCCCCAGCCGCCTTTAGTCCGCTGCCACCTCTTGCTGACTTAATTTTTCTTTTGCTCAATGTAGGGCAGCAGCACGCTGCAGGGTGGAGAAGGCCACTTCAGGAGAAAACCCAAGATGATCAATCAGAGGAACCTGGGAACTGGGCTGCAGGAGGAGAGCCTGTGACCAGGCCTGCCCGGGGGTGCCCAAGGGGAAATGGGCTGCAGCGGCGGAGGCAGGGTCTGCTTCAATAGGGGATGAGGGGCCTTGAAGAGGCAGGAAGCCACATCTGCCTTCTTCCCTGGGAAGCTGTGAGGGGAAAGGAGGCTCCTGTCTGTGGCAGTTACTTAGGAACCAAAGGACGAAGTATAGAAAAGCCGTCCTCAGTCCCGGTTCACCAATGCTCTGAGTTGCCTGTGAGTGAAAGAGAGTGCTGATGACTTGATTGTTTGTGCTTCCTTTGATGGTCATTCAAATGTTCTGTAACCAGAGGCTCCCTAATAGCTATAGAAGGGGGAAATCAGCATTGTCATTCTCTGTCATGCCTAGCTCTGAGCCTAGAAAATTCTACAAGGCAAAAAGGGAACACACTGAAGAGACACTTTTAGGAAGAGCATCTTAGACTTTGAGTTGTTTTTGTTTGTTGTTTAGTTTTTCAAGACAGAGTCTTTCTGCATAAAGGTTCTGGTTGTCCTGAAGCTCACTCTGTAGACCGGGCCAGCCTCACACTCACAGAAATCCACCTGCCTCTGCCTCCCAAGTGCTGGGACCAAAGGGATATGCCACCACTGCCCCACAACTTCAAGTTTTTTTGACACTCAGCCTCTACATGGGATCATGAAAGGAGCCCCAGAATACTAGTTGTAGGGTCCAGGATAACTGTGTATGCAGGGAAAACCATTTTCAGGGGACTCTTTCTCAAGAACTCTAGGGTTCAGATACAAAGGGAGAATCAGAAGGTGAGGCAGAGCTGTCTGCATCTGCTGGCCCAGGGGAGTTCTATGGATGAGGGAAACAGAGCCTGGGGGCTGGGAGGTGGGGCTGGGAAGAAAAGAACTTTCTCCCATCCAGCAGGGGAGAGCTGCGGTAGGATTCCCAAAGATTGAAAAGGAAAGAGGAGAAATAGGAGCTGCTAGAGGAACCCTTGCGTCTAGGCAACCATTTGGGGGACTGGGGAAGGGGTGGGGAAGATCAAAACCTTACTCTTGAATCTCAGGTCCCTTCCTGTAGTCACATCAGTGTTTCCTAGTGGGGACCTTTGATGTTCATCTGGTCTCAGGGAAGCATGGTTTGTTGGGAAGTGTCTAAGCCCCAGCAGGCTTCTCACCTTTGAACATGCCTGAAGCAGCCACGTGATCGGTTAGAAACACATTAGGTAGCATCTGACAATTCAAACCAGCTCAGAAGGAGCCTTCACTTTGCAGAATAATCACAATCAATTTTGATGGAAAAGAAAATAAGCAAGAAGAAAGATCAAAGCTCTGTCGATGTCAATAGAAGCCACGAGGAAGAGGGAGAGCAAGTGCCTTGGCGGCAGTCCCACAGGTCTCTTTCCTGAGCCATGTCTTAAAGGCACTGACACCATGTGTCATCAATACACACATGTCCAAGTGTTCATGTAGAGTTGAACACATATGTGTAGAAGCCAGAGGTTGACACTGGGCTTCCCACAACTTCTCTCTACCTTGGGTTGTGAGACAGGGTCACAGCTAGACTGGCCAGATCGCAAGCTAGAGGATCCTCAGCCTGCCTCCCACTGCTGGGATACCGGGTGAGTGCCGCTGGACCCAGTATTTTTTTTTTAACACATGGATGTTGAAGATGCAAACTCAGGCCTCCAGGCTGGCACAGGAAGCACTTCACTCTTGAAACTACTTTCCCCAGCTCTAAGGTATTATGAAGAAAAATGGCAGGGGCTGGAGAGATGGCTACATGGTTAGGAGAACTTGCTGCTCTTATGACGGACAGGAGTTAGGTTCCCAGCACTCATGCTGGATGGCTCACAACCACCTGTAACTCCAGCCCAGGGACCCCCCTGCTCTTTTCTGGCCTCCACAAGCACCCTCGAGTATGGGTGCACACACCCACATGTATCCGCAACATAATTTAAATGAAATAAAGTCTTAAAAAAATGAGAAAGAAAATGTCCAAGGTAGGAAGTGTTACAGGAGACAATGCAAAGGCTACCTACCTTGTTGGTGTGGAAGAAAATGAGGGGAGGGATATCCACTATGTGGACTATACAAAGAGGGATAGTAAGGAACTCTGAATCCTCTGCCTTGGCCCTGACAGAGAGAAAAAAATAGGGAGACATGCCCTGGTTAACCCTAGCTGGCTCTCAGTCTGAGACCACACTGCAAAGCAGGTCTTCTGGGGTCCTCAGGAGCTGGAGGCCCCAGGTCAACACAGATCCCCTCTGGAACAACTCAGTTTCAGGCCCAGCCAGTAGTGACAGCAAAGAATCAATCATGAGGCTGTTTTCCTGGTTCCGAATGTTACCAACCTGAAGATCTGCAAACTGGGCCTTGATCCAGATGGTACACCTCTATCCCCTGAGCCCAGCACAGGGCAGCAGGGCAACCCCAGCCACCGCGCCCCACTGTGGAGCACCTGACACCCAGCAGAGCATGGTCAAGCATGGATGCCAGGTGCTGGACAGAGGGCTCCACACCAACCAGCTCCTCGGTGTCCTCCGCTGGGACAGCAGCGCCACTGCCATTTACAGCAGAGGAACCTAAAGCGACCTGTCTGAGGTCACACACTAGGTGAGTGGGACGGTGACCCAGGCACTGAGAGCTCACTCTTCCCTGGACCCCTAAAGGTGCTACCTGCATGCTGCAGAGGTCTCATCCTGGCCTGCAGAACCTAGCATATGCTCCACGGCACAATCGGGCAGTCAAGTTTCTATCACCGAAATGGATATAATTCTGAATCCCAAAAGACTATGTGGTGGCCTTGACTCGGGTGCACTGGAGTCCAACTAGGCAGCCCTGCACTTGCTGTACCAGACACAGGCATAAGAATGTAACTCCATAACACCTCCTAGTGGCTCGTCTCCTATTGGGAGACGATGTTCGTGGAAGCATCCTATCTCTGTAGGGGTATTTTCTAACTTCTGAGACATGGCCATCTCTAGTCACCTTTCCAGTCCGTGTCCTGTCCTTGCCCAGCCTGGCTGACCTCAATCCAAAGGAGCAGCACATTCACCCCCTATTCCTCCCCCCCCCCACCCAATCACAGCCTGGGAGTTGTGTGCACCTCAGGGCCATCTGGAGAGTAGAGCTGAGTGAGTAATGAAATCCCCTCCCTGCAGGAAGAGGAGGCAAGTTTTATTACAGATCCTATCTCAACTCCGAGGGCTGGGACTCCAGTGATTGAGTTAATCCTGTCACCGCGTAAATCAGTGGGAAACTCACAGGAGGTGATTTGATTTAGGATGTTCATTTTGGCAAGCTGGTCTTCCTACAGCCAAGCTGTGGCCCAGGTACTTCTCCAACAAGCAGGAGGTTCAGTCCCAACGGACCAGTCTGGTTAATAAAATAATTCTGACCTCCTTAAATACAAAAGTAAGATGCATTTTAGTCTCCTCTCTGTTTGGTATATCACTGAATCTACCAAATTAATTTAGAAAACCTGTGTCTCTGCCTCTCATGATGTCTGCTGTGGCTGGGGTACCCTCCTGGGGGTTATGAGGCACTCCATATTCATCTAGAGTATGTGCGGCATGCAGGGCCTTCAAGCGGATCACAAGGCAGACAGGCTGGTTCACGAAGGCCAGACGGGGACTCAGGTTGTCCAGGTGGCTCGCTGGAAAGGAATAGAATGAATGTTCAGACTCCACCCTCCTCCATCCAGTGGCTTCTCTAGGGGCCACCTGGCTGGACAGAGGCAGGCTGAAGGCTCTGGGTGCTGTTTTTGTCCAACAGGCGTGGAGTGTTCTCCTCTAGGGCTGGCCACTGTGTGTGATGGCCGCACATCTTTCCAGCAGGCAGAGGACCAGGAGCAACCAGACCTTGACCCAGGTCTTTTTTTCTGCAACACAGGGTGGATCTGGCTAGGGACAGCAGGGTCAGTCATGATCTGAGGAAGAAGAGTGAAGGCCCCGGGTGCTAAAAGGGGCCCTTGGCATAAATCTGGCTTGTCCTGCCTAGGCCTTCCACCATACTTCCTTCCCTTCTCCCACCTGCATTAGGGTGACGTGTGCTTGTACAATCATGTGGAATATAAAACCCACGGACTCCTGAAAGGGAGGTTGGAGAGGACTGCAGGTGGCCCTCCGTAGATCCTGCTTTCTCTCTCTCCTCTATTCCCTCTCACTTCTGCCCTATCCACCCTGCTATAGACTCACTCAGGCAAGCCAACGCCAAACAGTGCCAGAACGGGAACCAGCTGTTCTTGGAACCTGAGCATCGGTGAAGCGACTTCCTTCCTGTCTCAAGGCTTTCTCTGCCTGTTTCTTGGGTTTTGTTTCCCGTTTCCCCTCCTGCACTAATCAGGCTGAGGTTTTCTTTCAGCGTGGGGGCAGTTGGGACCAGTGGGTCCTCCGAGGATGGCAGCCATCCTAGCCTCTCGTCATTGCTTGTTCACCGTGTGAAAGCATCCACAGTTCTCTCAGGCTGCTGCAGGAGGAAGGATGAAGAGAAGTCAACTCACTTTCATATTGACTGGTCCTAGATCACTGAGTACTTTTAAGAGTGTACACAATCTAATACCAGCCACGCGGCAGTTCCTGGGATCATCAAAACAAACATTATTGTCAGCTGATTGCAAGGGAAGAAACTGACATCCTCAAACCAGCCAGATGGGTAGATGCTATTGTTACCCCCATCTTACAGGCCCAGCGAGGCTAGAAAGGTGCCAAAGATCGCACAGATACTAAGCGGTCAGCTATGGGGTTCACCTGCATAGCCTTCCTAGTTATGCAGCAGCCTCAGCCCTGTGTGGACGCCGTGTCCCCAGTTTTCTCGCGGACTCCAGCTAAGTTCTCCACATTCCCTTTTCCCCATTCATTGTGGTCTTCAGGTCAGGTCAGGTGCTGGGACACCCCAGTGTTTCTTTCCCTGGAATCTTTTCCCTCTGAGATCCAGATACATTTCCAAGTTCACTGCCACAGCTAAGTTGAGCAAGGCTATCTAGCCTCGGGGACCCCAGCAGGTGAGTTCAGCCTCCAGGGGCGCAACCGGTAGAAATGTGCCGACCTAAGTCAACTCCTCGGGGATATGGGGGAACTCACGTGGGATGCCCAGGGCCCTCCCGGTTCCTAGCAGTACGTGCGGGGCCGAGGCTGCCACTCCGAACAGCGCCGTGTCCCGAGAGCCCGAAAGTCTCGGGCCTCCCCTGCTCCGGCCCCCGAACTGCGGGCGGGCCGGGAGACTGCCGCACG